ACTGCAACCAACTCAAATATGAGCCAGTTCCTAAGTGTCTGGATTTTGTTCATGTAACCATGGGGATGCTGCAATGGTCATAAATGTGAAAAAGAGTCATAAGTCACTTTTTCTAGTGCCGTTGTAACTTTGAATGGCTGCTAAATGAAAGGTTGTAAGCTAATATGACTATCTGTATTAGTTTTTTATTCTTCTTTTATTACTTTTATAAGTACCTCAAGGCAGTGAATATACATAATACCTAATCTAGCATACAGGCAGTCTTTGTTTTACAACAGTTCATTTAGTGACCGTTCAAAGTTACAATGGCACTGAAAAAAGGGACTTATGACCATTTTTCAGTTAGGCTCTTTCTAGCATCCCCATGGTTACATACCATATTTTTCGGAGTATAAGAAGCACCTTTTTCCCTCAAAAAAGAGGGTGAAAATCTGGGTGCATCTTATACACTGAATGTAGCATTTTTGGCCTCCCGAAACCCCACCCCCTTCACCAAAATGTCCATGCTTAGCCTTTAGGAGGCTTCCAGAGTGCTGCTGGGGGCTGGGGAGAGCAAAAATGAGCTAAAAACGAGCAATTTTTTTGCTTGTTTTTAACCCCCCCCCCTCCAGCCTCCAGGAGCACTCTACAAGCCTCCTAAAGGCTATTCATGCCTGTTTTTTGGGAGGTTTGCAGAGTGCAAAAACTGTTTAAAAATGTGCTTCTTCAAAATCTTGGTGCATCTCATACTCCGGTGCATCTTATACTCAGAAAAATACGGTAATCAAAATTGGGATGTTCGACAACTGGTTCATATTTATGACTGTTGCAGAGTCTCAAGGACATGGGATCCCCTTTTGCGACCTTCTGACAAGCAAAGTCAATGGGGAAGCCAGATTCACTTAAGTGAAAAACTCACTTAACAAATGTCTCACATAACAAGAGAAATTTGGGTCTCAATTGTCGTTAAATCGAGCCTTTCTCTTTCTCCAAACTGAATTTTATTTTTTGCTCCTGTTTTTCAAAGCAGCAGCCTTGAGAAGTAAACCTCTTGGCAGAAGCTTGAAAAGAAAAGTGTGTTGCAAACCCCAATGCCAAATAGCATTTCAAAACAGCTGTGTTGTTGCGTCAGTTACTCTCCTCACAGTTTGCATGCATGCAAAACTTATACAAATTGCATCAGAGGCTTTGAAAGGAAACCATTCTCCCAATGTGTTTAAATTATTATATTATCCAGAATTTGAAACATCAGGGATAGAGTAAAGGGCTCAAACAACAGAGGCTAATTTTGCCATAGTTCACCGTAGTGCAACATGTGAATTCAGCCACTGTGGTTTTTAACCTTGGTTTACTACTTAATACATGGGACACGGTGGCTCAGTGGCTAAGATGCTGAGCTTGGCAATCAGAAAGGTTGGCAGTTCGGCGGTTCGAATCCCTAGCGCCGCGTAACGGAGTGAGGTCCCGTTATTTGTCCCAGCTTCTGCCAACCTAGCAGTTCGAAAGCATGTAAAAATGCAAGTAGAAAAATAGGGACCACTTTTGGTGGGAAGGTAACAGCGTTCCGTGCGCCTTCGGCTTTTAGTCATGCCAGCCACATGACCACAGAGACGTCTTCGGACAGCGCTGGCTCTTTGAAACAGAGATGAGCACCACCCCCTAGAGTCGGGAACGACTAGCACATATATGAAAGGGGAAACCTTTACCTTTACCTTATTAACAGAGAGATCAGCAGCCTGCCAGAGCCCAAGATACAGTCCCAGGGAAAAAAAGAAAAACCAGAATTCTACAAAATTGCCCAAATTTCACAAGAAAACATGGACAAGAATGCAAACACAACGGTGGATTTTATTATTATTATTATTTGGAACTGGGAGCCAGGACATGTGTGTTGCTGATCCAAGCTTAGCCCATACGGTAAAACAAACCAGAACGTAATGCAGTTTCTAAGACTTTCTAGACATTTCTGAAAGCTTTGGAGAGAGGTTTGCAATTCTGCTATTACTTCTAACACTTACAAAACAAGTTCAAACTTCAGCTGCCTGAGCAGTTAAGGCCGCTTAACGTGGATTGTCTTGCCAAAAGGTGTCAACTCTTACGACTCTTCCAATTCTCCAGTGAGAGCAAGAAGATGCTTTAAAAAAGCAAATAATATTCATTTCTCTAATCTTTGGTGTGCAGAGAAGAGAGCAATTAAAAAAAAAAAAGCACCTTGTCTCACTTTCTCTCCCTCTCTGATCTACTTTTGGAAATAATAATTTTAGTATTCTGGTCATCTCGAAGTTTGTATTTGTAGTTTAAATATTTAAAAAAAATTCATACAGTTGCTCCAAAGCAACTTATAGAATTGTCAGCAGTATCTTGAAATCCAAACGCCAGGTAAGTTTGCTCCGATTTCTAAGGGCAAAGGCCAGACTTGTATGACTGCAGAAATGAATTTTGGGAGTAGGATCCCACACAGCCAGGGAGAGTAGACGAGGTTTTCTCCTGTAGCCCAAATCTTGCTGGAGAGAATCTTTTAAATTTGCAAGGAGATCTTGACAACAATGTCAAGTAACCGGATTCTGGAATGAACCACTTCAAAGAGCATTTATCAAATGCTATATTTTCATATTTCCCTTCTTTTAAGAAAAAAAGGCCCTGTAAAAGAGAACATCTTGGGAAATATTAAAGCTTTATCTTCACCTGCTTTGCAATCTTTAGGACTTTAAAAATAATAAGGAATTCTTCCCACCCTGCACCATTCCTCTCCCCTGCAAGTAGTAGAGTCTAATCCACCCATTCTGGTTCAGGTCACCCCTGGAAGTGGTACAGTCTCATCCATCTACTTTGGTTCAGGTCTCCCCTGCAAGTGGTAGAGTCTAATCCATCTACTTTGGTTCA